TGTTCCTAAACTTCCAACTCTTCACTGGTATGATTAGATTTCATATTTAAAGATGGAGGATGATAGTTTGATGATAGGTTGGTGAGAAGAGGAAAGGAGTAGGGAGGAGGAAGAGGAGTAGAGAAATGAGAGAGAATGGGGAGTGGTGGTCTGAAATTTCCAGCCCCAATCCCTCTAAAATATCTCCTTTCTTTTCCTTCTCCACCAATCACCTTAAGCCAACTATCCATCCCATAAAAATCTGACTTCTTTTCCTTCTCCACCAATCACCTTAAGCCAACTATCCCTCCCATAAAAATCTGACTTGCACAGGCAAACTGAATGCAGTCTGCCTGTGCAAAATGCAGTCTGCCTGTGCAACCTTCAAGGGTGCAAAATAAATTCAATCCAGCACCATTCTATGTGTCATTGGAGGTACATAGTTCAGTAATCACTTTGTGATCTTGGAACAGGATGTTACACCCACCGCCGCGCACCTGCCCCCGTCGGCCGCCCCAGCGCCGCGCGACTCTCCCGCGCCGCGCACCGCCGCCGCGCGACTCTCCCGCGCCGCGCACCGCTGCCGCGTCGCCCCCGCTCCGCCTGCGACCCACCCTGCGGCGACCGCCGCGTACACCCTTGACGCGCGCAGCGCTCCCGAACCCTGCCTCTCGCTGCACTCTGTGGCGGGGTGGGCCTCCCCGGGGACTCTTCGTTTCCGAGCTCGAGTCGAGGAATCGCTTGGCCATCACCCTGGTCGACAGTGGCGCGTCCTTGAACTTTGTGGGCGAGGAATTCGCCAAGCAACTGCAGCAGGTACCCATGGCCACCGATTCCATGGTGGTGAAGGTGGCGAATGGCTCCTCACTGAGCTGTAGAGGGGTTCTTCGAGGTATATCTTTGGAAATTCAAGGTCTGCCTATATTCACTGATCTATATATACTGCCGATCAAGGGATTCGACATCATTTTGGGGATCCCATGGCTACAGAGTTTGGGTCCTGTGACTAGCGATTGGCAAAGGTTGACCATGCGTTTCAAATGGAGGGATAAGGATTGGCAGTTGCAGGGCCTCACCACCGTGGTTGGACCCATCCCATTTGAGGAGTGTGGTCTGGAAGGCGAGGCCGAATTGGCCATTTTGTGCTGGCCGATCGAGGAAGGGGCGCCGTCGGTGCTCCGTCCGGAGCTTCAGGAGCTGCTCGGATATTACTCGGATTTATTCGAGACTCCCACAGCCTTGCCCCCTCACCGACTGGTTGACCATCAGATCCAGTTAAAGGAGGGGGTGGAGGCGGTGAATGTGAGACCGTACAGATATGGGCATTCGCAGAAGGAGGAAATTGAGCGACAAGTCTCTGAGATGTTGCTCACGGGCTTGATCAGGCCGAGCACCAGCCCGTTCTCATCGCCTGTATTGCTGGTGAGGAAGAAGGATGGGACCTGGCGCTTCTGCACTGATTATCGGGCTCTGAATGAGGCCACAGTGAAGGATCGCTTTCTCATTCCGACAGTGGATGATATGCTGGATGAGCTTCATGGGTCCCGCTATTTCTCTAAGCTGGATCTGCGGGCAGGGTATCACCAGATCCGGATGCAGGAAGAGGATGTCCATAAGACAGCGTTTCGCACTCATAACGGGCACTATGAGTACCTGGTGAAGGTGAACCAGTCCAAAAATTCAGGCCATGGTGGACTGGCCGGTTCCCACGACGGTGACTGAGTTGCGTGGTTTTCTGGGTCTGACCGGGTATTACCGGAAGTTTGTGCAGGGGTACAGCATGATCGCCCGACCATTGACGGATTTACTGAAGAAAGGGGGGTTTGTCTGGTCACCAGCAGCGGAGGCTGCATTTCAGCGGCTGAAGCAGGCTATGACGACCACTCCGACTCTCGCTATGCCGAATTTCTCGAAGCCATTTGTGATCGAGGCGGATGCATCGGGCCGGGGGATAGGGGCGGTGTTATCTCAGGACCGCCACCCCATTGCCTTCATGAGCAAGACGCTGGCTCCCTCCAAGGAGGCTTGGTCTACGTATAAGAAGGAGATGCAGGCGATTATTACTGCAGTACAGACATGGCGACCGTATCTCCTGGGCCAGAAGTTTCACATCTACACCGATCACCAGAGCTTGAAGCACCTCCTCGAGCAGCGGGTGTCTACTCCGGATAAGCACAAGTGGGTGTCGAAGCTGTTAGGCTACGATTATGAGATTCACTATCGCCCCGGGCCCACTAATGTGGTGGCGGATGGGTTATCGAGGAAGCCGGGCAGCGAGATTCTCGCCGCAGTGTCGGGGCCCGTTCCGCAGTTCTGGGATGAGTTACGGGCATCCATGGAGACCAGTCAGTATTTACAGGATTGCCGGGAAATCGCAGTGAGCGATAACCCAGGTCATTATTTATTTCGGCAGGGGCTGGTGACGTTCAAGGGTCGAGTGGTTCTTCCTCCTGGCTCGAACCTGGTCACCTCAGTACTTCAGGAGTTCCATGACTCTCCGCTGGGAGGGCATTCAGGCGCCGAGAGGGCGCTTCGCCGGATTAGAGGCCATTTTTACTGGCCCAGGATGGCACAAGAGGTGCGAGCCTATGTGGAGTCATGCTATACATGCCAGAGAGTGAAGCTGTCTTACCTGCGACCCGACGGCCTTCTGCAGCCGATGCCGGTACCAGAACGGGTATGGGAAGACATCAGCATGGATTTCATAGTGGGGTTGCCTCCCTCGGGTGGGAAGACGGTGTTGTTCGTGGTCGTGGATCGGCTCACGAAATATGCTCATTTTATGCCCCTGGCGCATCCGTACACTGCGAAGACTGTGGCCGAGCAGTTTGTCTTGGGAGTGGTGCGACATCATGGATTTCCCCGGTCTATTGTTAGTGATCGCGACCCGGTTTTCTTGAGCAGGTTTTGGCAGGAGGTTTTCGCGATGGCACGGACCGTATTACGCATGAGCTCGGCCTACCATCCGCAGATCGATGGACAAACGGAGATAGTTAACAAGCACCTGGAGCAGTATCTGAGATGCTTTACCCACCAGCAGCCGCGGCAGTGGCTGGCCATGCTTCCTTGGGCGGAATTGTGGTATAACACCACGTTTCACAGGTCTATCTAGATGACTCCATTTGAGGCTTTGTACGGGAGATCGCCCCCGACATTGGTACAGTACAGAGGTGGTTCGAGTTCGGTGGATGCGGTGGACAGGTGGTTGGGCGCGAGAGATGAAGCTTTGGAGCAGTTGAGGACCAATTTGGCTGCAGCGACCAACAGGATGAAGCAGGCGGAGGATGCAGGGCGGCGGGATGAGGAGTTTGAGGTGGGTGACTGGGTACTGTTGAGGTTGCATCCCTACCGGCAGTCCTCGGTTTTCAGGCGGGCATACCAGAAGCTGGCAGTTAGGTACTTTGGGCCGTATGAGATCACCCACAAGGTCAACCCGGTTGCTTATCGGCTACAGCTGCCTGCAGATTCGCGCATACACCCGGTGTTCCACATTTCCTTGCTGAAGAAGTACCGGGGCCAGGCGGACAGGGTGACATCGACGGCTCCTCCGGTGACAGCAGATGGCGACTTGGAGCTCGTTCCTCTCAAGGTGTTGGAGACCAGGTGGACAAAGAAGGGAGGGCGGTTGGTGGAAGAGAGCTTGGTGCAGTGGAAGCATGTGGAACCGGAAGATGCCACTTGGGAGGAGTCAGAGGTGCTCCGCCAGAGATTTCCGGGCTTCGACATCGAGGCCGATGTCGATTCTGAAGGAGGAGGGGATGTGGGAAACCCGATTTCGGATTAGAGAGGGAGAGGGCCGGTCAGCCAAAGAGGGGGAGGGAAGGAGTGGCAAACTTGTTATTTTGTGTTATTTCGGTTTACTGCTACTTAAGGATGCATTTCATTAGTTTTGGAAATTAAGCAATAATAATCAGAAATTCCCAAATCCCTAATCCCTATTCTCCCTCTTGTTCTTCCCCAATTCTCCAAATCCCTAAATTCTGCTCTTCTCAATCCCTAATATCCCAATTGGGATTTCTTGTGTCCTACAGATAATTTCATTGACATACATGTTTCTGCTCGACACAGATTCGTCTGATCCAATGCTTTCGTGATACTGTAACTAGCCAAGTCGCCCTTCAAACTCAGTTTCGTTTTATCTCATAGGCATTCAATTTCAAGAGTTACAGGCTCTCCAAGTTTCACATATCAGATACTGTAACTAGCTTTTAGTTTCGCTTTCGAATACTCAACTGTGGATGGTAAATAAAACCTGTTCTCATTAAGCTAGCCATGCAGGCTTTGTTCATATTCTACCATCTGACCAGCGGCAACTGGCATGGGAACCGTTTTATAAAGAAGTAAACAGTTACTAAATGAAAAAGGTTTCTAGAGAATAGGAATGAAGCTCCTGCAGCAGCTGATAACACAGAGAAAAAAAAAATTATTCAGCATATGAGGGACAGATCTAGTCCTTAATCTAAAACCCCAGTGACCTCCTTTCGGCACAATTCTGGTGAGGGCCGGAGATTCTATTATCCCAAGTTCAGCTGCAGCAAAGCTCGTTTCCATTTTCAGTGAAGTGCATAATATATGAGAAGAGTCAAAAACAGAAGGAGCTCGCGAGTTGCCTTGGAGGTTGGTAATCATCTCTAGTTGCAGCAGAATGCAAACAGTAACTGGTTACTCAGCTCCTGATCTCAACCTGACAGCAGGCAGAGTATACAAGAGCTAAAGTTTGAGTAGAAACTGGTAATTACAGCATCATTTACTAACACACACTGGAATCCCCTTTCAATGATGGTGGGGGAAAAGTTAAGATGGAAATTGTGGGTTTTACCTGTATAAAAAATTGTAGCATTTACCCACCAAACTCGTGATTCAGGAACCAAAAAGCATAACATTTTCAGCCATCACTTTGAGAGCTCCCTGTTGACATACTTTTATTGATCACCATACCATTATATCGCTCAACTTGATTTCACAACCAACCATAACTAGGCACAGTTCAGCATAATGGCAAAATCGCCAAAACTTGGAGGGTACCAAGTTCGAATCAAGTGCTCATCGGCTTGATTCCGCCTGGCCTTCCTTTTTTGCCTTCTCCTCGGAGATCATCTAAGAGGGAAACGAAGGTTTAGGGGTGTGCAATGGTCCGGTTCGTACCGGACCACACCGGACCAAACCGTTGTTAAGACCGGACCGGACCAGACCGAGTAAAATGCGGTCCGGTCCTTGGTCCTCATGAATTTTATAATTACTGAAGAAATGGTGGACCGAGCTCATATTTGGACCGGACCGAACCGGACCAAATGGACCAAATGCAAGAATGGTCCGGTCCTTGGTCCTAACATGTCTTTCACTAATGGACCGCGGTTCTCATGAGTTTGGTCCGGTCCGGACCGAACCGAACCGTTGCACACCCCTACGAAGGTTGCTTTAGCAGATAAAAATGGCAGATAACAGTTGGAAAAATATAAAATAAATAGATAGATAATATCTGGTGAAGCCAGAACAGAGGGAGATCAGAGAGGAGGAAGTTCCAAACCTGTAGTATCCGCGGGAAGTTGTTCCAGTGATCCTCATCCCACGGAGACCGCCCATCTTGGCTAATTAAGAACCCATCAATTGTGATATTCGGGACGTGGGAGATGTTGTGCCAATTCAAAGTCTCTTCCAGCCCTAAACAATTATCAATTCTAATCTCTTGCAAAGAGGTGAGGTGTTGCATCCCCTGCAGCCATTCCTTGGGGAGATGATCAATTCCGCTGATGTGCAATTTCTTCTTCAGTTTGGAAAGAGGGTACTGCAGGGTTTCCACTTCACTTGAAGAAGAGGGAGATGATGACGATGATGATGAACAAGAAGCAGTAGATGGTACATTAATATGTCCTGCAGACGACATGGCCAACGTGTCTAGTAGCGGTTGTATGCCAGAGGACCTCAGCACTAGCTCCATATCGAGCGTTGGGAACGAAGGCATTGAGGTTAGGACAAAGCAGTGGGCTATGAGCAGTTTGGAAAGTTTAGGGAACTGGAGAGGCTTCCTCCTCCGTCCTTTTAATCGAGGACATTGACAAAGTTCAAGTTCCTTGAGGGAGGGGAAGAATGGTGTGGATGCTGCTTTCTTTCCTGCACCTTCATCTTTATCGTCCATGTACTCCAAATGGATCAACCCGCCAAGGTAGAGCTTTTAGAGGCTCGGCAGTCCTTGCAGGTGGTGCAAATCATGCTGCACGTTGCACCAACCCAGATGAAGATTAACCAGCTGAGTGAGAGAACAAATCCAACTAGGTAATTTCCTTCCTTTGTGCCCAGTCACGTAAAATGAGTTCAAACCGGAGTGAGGTCGAAGGCTTTCTAGCAAGTTCTCATCGAAGTGAACATCTTCTTCTTCAGATCCCTTTAAAAATTGTATCTGTTCTCGTATTCCTTTCCCATGTCTCCCATCATCCCACCGCAGTGACAGAGTTTGAAGATGGATCTTCCCTTTCAGATGAGCTCCCCCGCCGATTATGAATGCCATTAACGGTGGTGACAATGCAGTTGTAGTGCCACGAACACGAAGACGTGCCAGATTCTCAATCTGGAGTGTACCTCTCAAGTTGTTCAGGTTTTTTAGCTCATCCAAGCCACCGATATGATCAAGAACGGAACTATCCTTTCCCACCACAAAACATGGTAATGATTCAAGGCGAGTCAGTTCACCCAGCCCCGCTGGCATGTGGGTCAAGGCGAGACAGTATCCACAGTTAAGGATCGACAGATTCTCAAGTTTGTTTAAATCCTTAGGGAGCTCTAGGAACCTTTCACACTTAAAAAGGTCTAGCACCTCTAAGTTTCGAAGCATGGTGATAGAGTCTGGCAACCTGACTATTTTATCGTTGAACGAGAGATCCAAAAACCTAAGATGTTCTAGTTCTCCAAGCTGATGCGACAGCATCTCCACTCCGGAGTTTCTAAATTCAAGGACGCGCAGACTTGCAAAATTCGAAACTAAAGTTTCGAAACTCGACTCATCCCAGGTTGTTCCCCATTGATACCATTTTGTAGACTTCTCGGGCTGGACACTAAACACTCGCAAGCGTTTGGCTTTAGCCAACCGAGAAGCAACTTCCGAGGGACTCCACAAGTCATGGTTCAGTGAGATGTAGCAAGTATCTCCGGTGATTTCATTTTCGGGATCATTTAATTGGGTGTAAGTTGAACCAGCTATTGAGACAGCAAGGTCGTGGACTAAATCATGCATTTTACAAGTATCTATGTTGCCGAGCAAATCTCGTTTTATTTCTTGAAAAAAAGATCTACATGTCAAATCCATAAAATACTCGAGACCCAATTTGTATAAACTTTGTTCGGAACCATTAGGTGATGATTTAACAAGCCCCAGTGCAATCCATTTATATATGAGTACTTGAACATCAATTTTGTAGTTTTTGGGGAAAAGGCTACACAACAAAAGGCAACGTTTCAAATGTGAGGGAAGATAATCATAGTTCAGTTTTAAGTTCTTCAGAATGCCATCCTCATGGTCAGCAGGTAAAAGTTTATCAGACCTAAGAAAGGACAACCACTCGGTTTGTGGATATTTGAAATACAGTAAGGTAGCTAATGTTTTCACAGCTAAGGGGACCCCGACCGAATTTTTCATTACCTCGGTTTGAATCTCTTCCACGTTAATTGTGTTTAGTGGTTCGTTTGCCAGTTGCTGGTCGCCGCCGGACACTACCAGCCTGAGCAATGACCATGATTGTGGGGAGGATAGACCGTGCAAAACATAAGGCGGACGAAAAGAGCCACGACTCATCATTATTGCGTAGTTCTCAAACCGGGTAGTGATTAAGATCTTGCTTCCACTTGCGCCACCCTCGAGTATAGATCCCAAAAAATCCCATTTTCTACACTCCAAGTTGCATAGATCGTCCAGCACCAGAAGGTACTTCTCCCTTGTGAAGTATTCCTCGACGAAATTACACAGACTCTGGCGTTGAAAACTTGGTTGTTTCTGTCCTGTGGCTGTGTCCACAATCCTTTGGAGAATCGCATCAACCTCAAAAGACTCTGACACACATACCCACAATCTCAGGTTAAACTCCTGCACGACATCCTCGTCATTGTAGACAAGCTGAGCAAGTGAGGTTTTACCCATCCCACCGATGCCAGCTATGGAAACCGCAGCGACGTTAGTGCTACTCTCTTTAGCAAACAAAAATTCCTTAATATACCTTACATCATCTTCTCTCCCGACGAATATGTCGGGGATGGAAGACATGGTGGGGGTATGCTTCCTCATCTTCCCTGACTCCTCGTCGTGGCGAGGAGTCAGGGACAATTTGGTGTTATCAGCATGTATGGCTTCCAATTGCTCTCTGAGTGTCTTAACTCTATGAGCCATCTTCATTATATATATAAAAAAAAAAAAAACCTTAATGAGCCATCTTAATACCGCAAATCAATTGGCTTGAAACAGATAAAAGGAAGCATACCGCAGCCCGACATCCGATCCTGCACCTGTTGAAGCAGTCATCAGAATCCCGATTTCCTGTGGCCATTTCCTCCCGCAGAGCCTCAGTGGCAACATCATCAAGTAGGTCCTCTGCGTCAAGCAAGAGAATCTCCAGCTTCTGGAGCCAGTCCTTGACTTGAGGACTGTGCTCCTGCTGCTCCTCTGCATCGAGCAGAAGGGCCTGAATGGAGGCCATGGTGCCATTCAGCTTCTGGAGTTCGGTTCGAAGGTTCCACTGCAGAGCTGCCTCAGGCTGAAGGAAAGGAGTCAGCCTCTCCAGAATTGTTTTTCCAACGCTGAACAGAGAAATAGAAGTCATCAGAGTAAAGTTTGCTGGTTGTTTGTGAATTGTGATGTACTGAAAATCTGAAATGCAGCCCCTTATTTAACAAATCAGAGTTCACGTGGGCTGCCATTACATTTCCTAATTGTGATTAATTCTTTACTCTCAGCCGCATGGTGGGCTGAAATAATTGAGTTGCTGAGCCGCCGTCCTCATTGGCATCCAGCGAAGATTTGCCTTCTAGCGTCGATGTTAATAGTTTTCAACAACTAGCTAGTCTCCCTCTTACCACCCGACCTTCTTTGAATTTAATCCTAGGGTTAATACCTTATTTTGGCTCGAACTATGGCCATATAATCAACTTTGGCCAGTGGTTTCAGAAATTAACATCCTGGTCTAAACTATGCAGCATATAGACTCAATTGGCCCGACACATAGTTTGACCGTCAATTTGGACGGTCAACTTCGTTGACCGTTAGTCAACACGCCATGTCATTGCCTAGTCAGCCTAAAAATCATTAAAAAAATGAAAATTCAAATTATTTTTCTAATTTTTCTTATTTATTATCAAATTAACCAAAAATAAATTATAAAATACATAAAATAAATATGATTTTTTATTTTTTGTATAATTTGAAAATGATAAATTTTATAAATTAACCAAAAAGTATCAAATTATTTTATATTTTTAAAACTTCCCACAAAAATATAATTTATATCATAATTTTTAAATTTATAAAATTTAATTTGATAATTTTTGGTTAATTTATAAAATTTATCATTTTCAAATAACCCAAAAAAATTATTTTTATATTTTTAGAATTTTATATTTTGGTTAATTTGAAAATGATAAATAATAGAAATTAGGAAAATAATTTGAATTAAATTTTTTTAATGATTTTTAGGCTGACTAGGCAATGACATGGTATGTTGACTAACGGTCAACAGAGTTGACCGTCCAAATTGACGGTCAAACTATGTGTCGGGCCAATTGAGTCTATATGCTGCATAGTTGAGGCCAGAATGTTAATTTCTGAAACCACGTGCCAAAGTTGATTATATGGTCATAGTTCGGGCCAAAATAAGGTATTAACCCTTAATCCTATTACCAACCACTTGGAATTCACGTTGCCTGCTCCGTTTTTCCGGCGGAAGACGACAACTTAAACATTCAGACGAGAACTGGAAGGGGGTTGGATTGAAGAGGAAGGAAGAGAACGGACCTCGTTCAGCTCAATGTCTTGCCGGCCGCCATCGGGACCAACCTCTCGCCGGAGGCAGAGCAACCGTTTCACGTCTCTATCTCTCGCTCTCGCAGCTCTTTCGCTGGCAGAAATTGGGGAGAACAAAATATTTGCCCAGGAGACGAATTATGAAAAATCCGATCAGTGACGATTGACGAAATTCTAGGTTTGCGATGTGCGGGGAAGGGTCCAAAAGAAAACGAAGAAAGAAGCAAGATGGTTATTAATCTTTATCGTTTCTTTCCTTTAGTCTTTAGATGAATGGGCTTTAGCTCAGACTAACCTAAGCCCACAGTTTTGGTTAGACTTAACAATAAAGCCCAGAAGCCTTTCTTATTTTTAAAGACCCAGAAGCCATTTTAAATGGTGCGGAACTAGGGATGCAAATGAACCAAATCGTTAACGAGTAACTCGACGTTCGAATCGAAAAATACTCATTCGATACTCGACTGGTTATTTAACGATGACAACTTTCAGGAGCTCCTACAGGCTATAGCTGATAAATGAAGGGGGAGAAAATTTATCAAACATATGGAGAGTCAGATGATGAGATAAGGGTCCGTGGAGGGTGGGTCTCAGATCAAGTCCTTCAACTATAATGCACAGCGCATCAGATCCAGGACACCATCATTCAGCAGAATTCTGGTGCTGGCTGAAGCTCAATTATATTGCAGCAAAGCTCTATCTCTCGCAGCTCGTTCGCTTGAAGGAATTGGGTGAACAGAACATTTTCCAGAGAAAATTTTTCTAAGGGGTCGTTTGGATTAAGCATTTTGATTTGAGGGATTTATAAGGAATTTCTATCCAAATTCTGCTCTTAAAAATCCAGGTAATTTAAACAAGGAAATTGAATCAAATCACTTGTTTGATGAAGGATCCAGAATTGTCTAATGAGCAATTTCAATTTAAATGACAAACCTAAAATTACTATTTTGCCCTGTTCACTCTCTTCTTTGCATACACTTTTAATCCCTCTCTTCAGCGATGGATGCGACCAGGGAATGGATGTACTCGAACGCGGCGTCTCCGGCGGAATCGTTCGGAAATGCGGTGACTTTCGTGTGGCGGAACCAGGAGACGGATGTGACGAAGACGATTCCGTAAATCATTGCCCCTTTTATGTTCTTCACCAAGCAGTAAGCAATGATGATGAATTCGACGATTTCCAGCCAAAATGACGGGCTCTCCATACGTTGCGGGGGCAGAGGATGTCGCCGGAGACGGTCTCGCCGGGGATCAGACTCACGGTCCCGTTCGCCATCGCCATCACTGGGGACAACGACGTCTGGGAAGATTGAACAAATGGGCATGTGAGAATTGAGAAATCAAACAGACAAACCCATCTCATCGCCGAATTACAAAATGAATGATGATCTGAACTCACCCGCTAAAACCCAAGATCCAGCTGACTGAACCCTAAACCCCGTGAAACTGGAAAGGTGGGAAATGGATGGATCAAATAGCGAGAAATCAAAGGAACCCCAAGACTTGGTGAGAGTGAATGGATTTTTGCTCTGCCGCTGAAATAGTGGCGTAAAGCAGGGTGAAAGGCAGAGATAAAGGGATGATGGTTAAATACTTGGAACTCAGGAACTGGAAATGGAATGGAGACCATGGAAGAGGAAGAAGAAGAAGAAGCAGCCAAGTCTTGGGATTCGCGAAAGGATAGAGGTTGGAAATGGTGAGTCGGTGAATAAAGGGCGAGGGCAAGAAAGGAATAACAAAAAATAAGGAGGGATAAATTGGGAAGGTTGGGAAAAAATTGTCAGAGATTTTAAAAACCCTGGGCCCATCAGCTATTTTAAAATCTCTGATACTAGGATTTTTGAAATTCCTAATTGGTAAAATATCTCTTTTTTATTTTCCTATCCAAACAAAGAATTGTGACAAAATTCCTTATGACAAGGAATTGTGGTAAAATCCCTGCCCACATTTCCTAATCCAAACAACCCCTAAAGAAATTTCTAAATCACTGATTCTTGTAGGATTTCCCAGCATAGTCGAAAATCCGATCAGTGGCGAAATTCTAGGGTTTGCGATTTGCGGGAAAGAGAAAGTGAGCGAAATGAGAGAGCTCACAAATTCCTCCCTCCTCCAGCTCGCTTCTTTTCCTACCGTCCAAGTGGGCTTTTCTTTCGATATACACACACGAGGCTTTCTAATCCGAACGGCCCGCGAGGCCCATTCTTGCCCAGCACTAAATGAACAGCCCCAGTTCTCTCTTTATTCATTGATCGCCCCAATTAGGCCTTCTATGAAGCCCAAAGTTCCATCGGTTTGTTTTGCACCGTTTTTATATCTAGCCCAAAAGAATACTTTTGTGCTGTTTTTCCTTTTCTTGTTTCGCGGCCCAGCAATAAAATTTGGAAGTTTATTTCAAGCAAATGCTCTTGTTCATTAATTTGCGGGTTAATTACATGGTGGTCACTTAGATTACAAAAAACGTTCAAGTTTAGTCACTCGAAATATTTAAATCCATTGGTGGTACTTCAGTTTATTGAAATCGTTCACGGTTGGTCACTCTCCGTCCAACTCCGTTAACTTTGGTTGATGTGACAGTCAACTCTCAAAGTTGACCATTAACTTAGTGACGTGACAATTAAGAAATAATAAATAAAATAAATTTAATCATTTTTAATGTTCGACTCATTTTTACTGTAAAAAATAAAAAATAGGCAAAATACAGTTGTATAGCCAAAACTTTCGCGTTTATGACAATAATAGCCAAATTTGGAGAAATACCACTTATAGCCAGATTTTGTAAAGGGTATTGGACAAATATAGCCATTTCCGTTAGATACTTTAACGGTGTTATTAACTCCGTTAACTTCTTTGATTGTTTGCTGACTAGGCCCCAACTCAGCGCGTTAGCGCGCCAACTCAACCAAAAGTGACACGTCATAATTAAAATTTATTTAATAATTACATGTAATAAATTAACAAATTTATAAAAAAATTACTTTAATTTTCCCCAATTTCTTCATCGCCCTGACGCCCTCTCTTCTACCGTCCCAGATCTCTGATTATCCTAATTCTCACTGATTTTGAAGCTTCCTAAAACCAAAACAAAAAATCAAAATCGACCTTTCCTCTATCTCTCTTCACATCTGTGTCGTTTCCCAAAATCCCTATGAAACCCATAAATCTCAACGATGAGAGCAGGAAGAAGTGGAGAAAGAGCAGGGAGACGACGGTTGAGAATCCATCTCCTCTTCATCGTTGGCGTGGAATCGACACTAGGTAGGTAGCGACTACAAGGGAATCGACATCTTCCGACGAACGGCCAAAGATCTGTCTCTGTTGAAGCTCTCCTTATCTTCCTGTCGTGGCACGGGCCGGATTCGATCGGGTATCATCATCGTCTTCCGATGAAACTCGATTCAAATCCTCTAGCTTCATCTCCAAAACCCTTATCATCTTAATCAACCACCATCGTCGGAACTCGAATCGGGGGCAGCAAGTTTGCAATCGCAGAACTTCGACAGATTTAGAGATGGGAAAGATCTGTCTCTGCTCCTCTCGATAGATTCGGCTCTGGCTCTGGAATCGCACTCAACAAAACTGGATCTGCTTTTGCCTCGTCGGCGATATGATAGCTTCCATCTCCTTCCTCACACGTCGTTTCTAGAGTAGAAGAATAAAAGTAGAAGGAGAAGATAATTAGGTTTTTCACTTGTTGGTTCAAACTTCAGACTAGAGAGAGGAGGGAGAATAGAATTGTGGATGATTATCTCCTGCAGAAACAAAAACAAAAAGAATGGAGAGAGTTTGTGGACTTTGGGTCATTCTTTTTAATAAAACAATAATTATGGAAAAATCCGGAGGAAGAAGGCTGTCAGATAAAGCCTTTTCAATTTTTATTCACTTAATTTTTTAAAAAAAAATCCACGTGGATTTTTTTACATAATAGGCTGAAAGTGCTCGCCACGTCAGCGTTTCCGTTTGTCCAGTCAGATTTAACGCTAACACCATTAAAGAATTGGACGGAAATGGTTATAAGTGGTATTTCTCCAAATTTGGCTATTATTGTCACAAACGCGAAAGTTTTGGCTATACAATTGTATTTTGCCTAAAAAATATAATATTTATTTTTTGGGCGAAACCTGCTTTCATCCCACATCTGGTCAGAGTGAGAATCTACCACCATTTCCATCCCGAGCTCTACAGGATGTCGGGTCTGGCCCGGGTTGTATCGGGTATCAACATATTCGACCCAAAATTCAACATCGCCTCCCCTGAAGCCGACCAGTCCATCTACTTCCCTTACACCGACAAGCAGCGCCGCTTCACCAAATTCACCCCCCGCCCCCTGAAGAGCTCCTCTGTTTTCCCTCTTAACCATTGCCTACTTAAACCATTTTATCCATGCTTCAAAAAGCTCTGAGCTTTCTGAAACAATGGAGTTCGATCTCGAAAACCCATTAACGAGCATTTCAAGCTCCAAGGATTCCGATTCGACAATGACACCACTTCTCCTCTTTTCTTCAGAGTCCGATCACATGTCCTCACCGGACTTCCTCAAAACGTTCGCCTCCCGGCTCGAAAACATGGTACTCAATTGTAGTAAAATTCCCTCGCTCTGTTTTTGTCTTACTCTGTTTTTTTTTTTTTCTTCCGGTGAGGAATTTCTGATCGCCGTTTATTCTTTTCAAGGAAAACAAGCCATGGGTTGTACGACTCGTTGCTGTATCTGTTAACTTATCAAGACAAAACTGAGATCGGGAAAAGGAGAAACAGACACCGATTTACGTGGTATCCCTGGAATTCCAGGACTAATCCACGGAAGAGCTTGAACGCTCTTCAGCTACTGTTCTTACTGATAGGTTTTTTCATTAAACATACAAGAGATACTGCTGCTCTACAAATACTCTACATTCAGCCGAACCCTAGCATGTACGAGGTAGGCTTTGTAACGGGCTTGCATGATTGCATGGGCCCAAACTCCTATGTAACATGGGCTATTACTACTACGTAAAGACATACAGAGAGCTGCGGATCGGACTACATAACATTCAACACCCTCCCCGCAAATTGATGCCGATCCATGAGCATCAATTTGCTAGATAGAAAACGATGTCGTCCCAGCGAAAAGGTCTTCGTGAGTAAATCTGCAACCTGGTCTGCTGTCTATATGTAGTGTAGAGCAATCGAGCCATCTCGAACTTCATCCCGAATATAGTGAACATGTATCTCTATATGTTTAGTACGATCATGTAGAACCGGGTTCTCTGCTATCCGAATTGCGCTGGTATTGTCAACATATAGGTCCATAGGACCTGTAATCACCACGCCCATATCAGTAAGAATACGCCGTAGCCAAGTTAACTCAGAAGTAACATCGGACATCGCCCTGTATTCAGCTTCGGTGGACGATTTAGAGACTTTGTCCTGTTTCTTGCACTTCCAGGAAATGAAAGAGTTTCCAAATTGAACACACCATCCTGTAGTGGAACGTCTAGTATCAATGCACCCGCCATAATCTGAGTCACTATAGGCTCTCAAGGTAGCTGAACCAGAAGAAGGAAATAAAATCCCCAAGTCCTTCGTTCCCTGCAAATACCGGAGTATACGATATACTGCTGCTAAATGATCAACACGAGGGTCTCCCATAAACTGACTCACCAGCTGGACTGCATATGAAATATCCGGCCGAGTTGCAGACAAGTAAATCAAACTCCCAACAATGCTCCGATACTGTGAACCATTCGTGACCTTCTCCCCAGAATCCTTGCAAAGTTTGAGATTTAATTCCATCGGAGTACTGACCGGTTTACAATCTTCCATATTATGATCACTCAACAAGTCAATAATATATTTCCTTTGACTGAGAAGAATACCGTCCTTAGTGCGAGACACTTCCAAGCCGAGGAAATAAGACAAGTCCCCCAAATCCTTGATCCGGAAAGCCTTCTGCAACCCTTCTTTCAAACCCCGGATACCATCTAAATCTGATCCTGTGATGATCATATCGTCAACATAGAGAAGAAGAAGAACAATTCCCTTCGAAGTAGTCTTAATAAACAGGGAAGGATCATTTAAACTTTGACTGCAACCAAGCTCCACGAGAGTAGACTGAAAGGTTTCAAACCAGACACGAGGCGCCTGCTTCAAGCCATATAATGAACGGTTCAGTCTACATACCTGTCCAGGAGTTCCAACATTATAACCAGGAGGTTTTTCCATGTATATAACCTCATCAAGATCACCGTGAAGAAAGGCATTCTTCACATCAAGCTGAGCAAGAGGCCAGTTCTTCATCGAAGCAACTGCAAGAAGAGTTCGCACTGTAGACATCCGAGCCACAGGAGCAAATGTCTCATGATAATCCACCCCGTGCTCCTGTGTATACCCCAGGGCCACAACACGTGCTTTATGTCGTTCGATCGATCCATCCGGGAGCATCTTAATTGTATAAACCCACCGACTCCCGATGGTCGGAGTATCAGGAGCAGGCCGATCAACAACTGTCCAAGTATTGTTCGCATGATGTGCATCAAACTCACATCCCATTGCCTCCTCCCAAACCGGATCACCTTGTGCATCTTTGTACCTTGTCGGGATAGGGGGAGAAGTCACACCTAGTGCCAAATAATCATTGTATCGGATTGGAGGAATCCCTTTGGTGGTCCGTTCTGAACGCCGAGGTGGAGGAGGTGAACTGGCCGAGACCGAGGGAGAGGGAGAGCTACTGCTTGCTCCCGTGGTAGACAAAGGGCTCGGCCCAGTAGAATTTAACAAGGGGCTGCTGCTGGTCGGTGATGATGATGTAGCCGAAGTAGAGGTGCTGGGGGAGTCTGTAGCGTCGGGGGGAAGTATAATGTCAAGGTCAATTTCTGGGTCATCATCGAAAGTGAACACAGGCAAGGAATTGGATGGAGGGAATACAGACTCTGAAAGAGACGAAGGACCAAAGAATTGAAGGTGCTCAAAGAAAACAACGGTACTAGCGACACGAACACGTTGGGTGATAGGATCAAAACACAAGTACCCTTTATGAACATCACTATAACCCATAAAGGCACACTTAGCTGTTTTAGAGGTTAACTTAGTACGTTCACGACGGGGTAACAAGACAAAACACACACACCCAAAAACACGAAGACGTGAGTAATCTGGTGAACGAGCATAAAGACGGAAATACGGACTCTCATTCCCTAGGACAGGAGTGATTTGATAATTAATTAATCGAACTGCAGTCACAACTGCCTCTGGCCAAAAAGAACCAGGTACTGAGGAAGCTAACAGTAATGCTCTGGTAAGTTCAACAACATGACGATTTTTGCGTTCGACAAGACCATTTTGTTGTGAGACGCCAGGACAGGATTTTTGACTCAAAATGCCACGGGATCGATAAACCTCACGAAGAGGAGAAGAACTAAACTCGCCACCTGGATCCGAACGGATGATTTTGACTGATTTTCCGAACTGAGTTTGAATCATATTGAGAAATTCAACAGCTACAGAACGTAGATCAGATTTTAAACGAAGCAAATAAATCCAGGTGTATCGTGTGGCATGATCAATAAAAAGAGCAAAATAACGAAAGCCATGCTTAGAAACGACGGGAGCAGGCCCCCAAAGATCAGTGTGAATTACATGAAACGGTTCCTGAATAACAGTAGTACTCGAAGGATAGGAAATACTGACAGTTTTGGCTTCAACACAGCTAGTACAGGAATGAATTTCTGGAATACCGACTTTGGTTTTACCTAGCAACGACTTTTTAAACATAGTAGCGAGACGAGCAGAGTGAGGATGCCCCAGACGGGCATGCCAAAGGTCCCACTGCTTATTTGACGAACTTAACACAGAAAGACAAGGACTCGACAAGGTAGGAAACAACGGACTACTGACAGACCTACGAACGACAGGAGTGACTGAATGCCCATGAAGTTCTTCCAGATGAAACAGACGACCTTGTTTACTCCCCCTTCCGATCAGACTCCCCGTCTTCGAATCCTGTATAAAACAGCCAGACGGAGCAAACGATACAGTACATCCTTGCTCAGTAAGTTGTCCAACAGAGACCAAATTAGGAACAAGAGCAGGTACATGTAAAGTATTTTGCAAGGACATTTCTCGATCAACAACATTACCCACTCCCTTGACCTCTAATTTAGACCCATTTGCCACGGTTAGTTCAACATTTTTTACTGGGGTCATATCCTTTAGCATAGTAGAATCACACGTCATATGGTTGTAACAGGCTGAATCAAGGAGCCATGGAGTACGAGTATTACCTGTTCCATGTAACGTAGCAAAAGCGGCACTAATTGCTGCACTGACAATTTGTTCAACGGTTTGGACCGTTACACCACCACTGCCATTACCATTATCCCCTGTTGCCATTGGAAGAGGCCCACGGCTGCTGCTGCCTTCTCCTTGCGGTGCATTGCGGGAGCCACTACGCCAACGATTCTCTTCGCCACCAGCACGCCAGCGGGTTTCCTCTCCGGCAGCAGGTTTCCAACGTGCTGCATCCGCAGCAGAATAAGTACCAAAAACAGCTTTGTCGGTGTATCCTTGCCGACCTTGGGCGGCAGAATAAT